TAACAATGATGCATTAAATTGATCAAAAGTGACAGTAGACATTTGTAATGTTAAAAAATATTTTAGTGTCTAATAAATGCTTTCTTTTTAAATTTCTATTCATCAGAGAATCCTGAAAAAATATGTATTGTGGTTTTTACAGAAATACTAGCAGCACAGCTGTGTTCAATATTGATAGTAATAAGAAATGTTTCTTCAGCACCAAATCATCACATTAGAATGATTTCTGAAGGATCATGTGACACTGTAATCTGGAGTAATGGCTGTTAAAAAAATCAGCGTTGCCATCAAAGGAAGAAATTAAAATTTTAAATATATTAAAAATACTATACACTAATACTAAAAAAGTTGTTTTTCTATTTTATTAATATTTTATAATATTACAGCCTTGGTCTGCAGAAGAGACTTTCTTTCAAAAACATTTTAACTTGACCTCAAACCTTTGTAGTTGAAGGAACTTGACTTGTGAGGTTTTTAGCCAAAGCCTGTAATATAAAATATTTGGGTAACACTTTAGTATAGCGACCAATTCTCACTATTAACTAGTTGCTGATTAGCATGCCTATTATTAACATATTGGCTGTTTATTAGCATTTATAAAGCACATATTCTGCATGACCATATTCTACATCCCTAATCCTACCCAATACCTAAATTTAACAACGACCTTACTAACTATTAATAAACCGCAAATTAGGAGTTTATTGTGGCAAAGGTCATAGTTAATGGTTTGTTAATAGAGACAATTGGACCTTAAAATAAAGTGTGACCAGTATTTGAAATCTTAGTTGCATGTTTAATTTCCTCTTTCCCACACAGTTCATCTGTTGATATGAGTATTTTGCCAGCTATGTGTAACCTGGTTAAGAGGTCAGCCCAGGTTCCAAGCCCCAAGTGACCTTTGTTCGCACGTTACACCATAGTGATGGATTAACACCTAACCTGTGCTGAAATTATAGCTGTGGTGCATATGATTTAACACTCTGACACTTCGCTTGAAGGGAATCAAGTTCCATTCACTGAGTCATTCTTTCTGTACTAAGAATTGATAAACATATCCTCTTCTGTGAATTGATGATGAATTTGGCTGTTTAAAGCTGTTTCATAACCTAGTGAGAGCTGTGTCACTGCCCGCTACCTACATATGCAGCAGCCTTCCAAGGCAGCATCCTGACCGTCATGGAATCTTAAAAGTGACAGGCTTGGAACACTATATTAACAGCACCTCTGTAGTAGAGGTCTTCTCGGGTCCTAAAATTTGTACCCGACCCGAATCACTTCTTACCCGAACCCGACGTGCATAAATACTAGGGTTGCGCCGATCCGATATTCATATCTGGTATCGGCTCTCATAGATTATAAATATACATAGGCCTATATTTGTTCATATTTATTGTTTATTTTATTTTTCTTTTATAAGAAATTTTTCGGTATCTGTATCGGCCAATATCGAACCCTAGGTATCGGAATCCGTATCGGAGGCGAAAAAGGCGGATCGGAGCATCCCTAATAAATACTTTTTTTTTTTTTTTAAAACCCGACCCGAGACAGACCCGATGAAATTAGCCCCGAGTCCGACCCGACCCGACCCCGACCCATTTAATTTCGAACCCGACTGGTCCCGAACGTAAACTGCATTGATGTGTGTACAGCCTGCAGCCCTGCAGTCAGTCAGGAAAAATTCCCGTGTCCTGCTGACTGATTTGGCCGCTTCTCCATTACTTTGATTTATTTAACATTTATTCAATTTATTATTAGGCTACTTTATATTAGTGCCTGCCTGATGGATACAAGTTAGCCTATTTCTGAGCTCGGCTTTCAATTGTGACCAGTGGATTTGAAAAATAAATGTGATAGTTTGATAAAACATAAATTGATAGCCTAATAATTCATGGATTTGCTAGTGTTGTCTGATTTCCGGCGAAAGGCTGCACACAAAAAAGAAAAGCCCTGCATTAACACACGCAGCATAATGAAGCGAGTGGATTTTCCTGATGGTTCTCATATCTATAATGATTTTTGTGTGCGAGGTTACAAACGTATGCTCCTTTTCTATGTGCGTTCCTCACTTAACACGAAAGTGAAAGTAACCTTCGCATTTGGGATAGTTTAAAAGAATTCGGGTCAAATCGGGTCCATTTGGAAAAAGCATGTTTATTTTAAATTACCCGAGGCCGCTAATATCCGAACTCGATCCGTGTCCGAGGTACTTGTCGAAGTATTGGACCCGAACTCGGTCTCGGGTCGGATCTCGAGTTTTCGGATCCAAGTGGACCCCCGTGAAGACCTCTACTCTGTAGGCCTCAAAAATAATGCTGCCTGCGCATGAGAGAACTGACTTTGAATTGATGTTAGCATATTGCTCAGCTAATAAAAAATGTTCTAACATTTTGTCTGTGCTTTTCAGCATTGAATGAATTTGTATTTATAATCAATAGTTTGCCGTTTTGAATATGTGGAGATTTTTTTTTCACTTAGCTTGTTGCTGTGCATTCTGGGATTGTAACATGATTTATAATGTCATGTCAATCATGATAACTGTTGTCATGGACAATTCTTAATTGGAGTTCAGACTTAGTCTTTGTTGCTTTGTTGTCAGTGTCACTTTTCTATATGCAGTGGGTGTTTTTAATATTGAATTTCAAGTTTGAGCTATATTGGAGGCTTGAGGTCTGTATAGGGAACGCAGCACTCTAGAGAAAATATCAGCTGACTTTTATATAGGGCAAACAGTAAAACGGAACAAGCTTGCTTTTGTCCTGAATATTGTGAGTACTCTGACCTGTTTTGTCTGTTGATAGGACTAACATTTCCAGAATCCGAAATAGGAATTGTGTACAAAATGGTAAAACAAAGTAACGAAAGCCTAATGACACAAATATACAAATTTAGCATGACAGACCTCATGTAAATGAACACTTTTCAAATTTCCTTCTTGAAAACCATCTGAAAATAGCTTATTTTCTCTCCTAGGCCTAAGGTGCATTCACAATCATGAAATTTCATTGGCAAAAAAGGACCATTGTCTATTGTCAGTAGTGTAGCAAGGTATGAAGCACAGCACACGCTGAAGCCACTTTCAAACCAAGCAGCTTTCTGTTGGTCAGTAGCCGGGTTTCCATCCAAAGTTTCGAATTTAACTTCACATAAAATATTGCATAAAACATTTGCGAATAAGCACAGTTTCCATCAAACGAGTCAAGGAGAACAAAATCGTCACTTCCTGATAAACTGGCACTAAATATCAATAAAAAAAGTAGGAGAAGACACTGAATATAATAATGTTCATATATAATAAATTAGTTGCGCCTCACAGCGAGCAGTCATTGCTTTCGGAGGTGGATACCTGCTGTTTGGGAACACAGTTGTGTAAGACAGTTCTTGGAGGCAATTATACAGAAATACTTTGACGACAGATTTTGCTCTGATCTCATTTCAGATGCTATGCAATTTAGGGCCGTCAAAATATTAGTCGAATTTAAAATAAAAATCCACATTCGAATGCAAAAACGTTGCATTTAAATTTTAGGTGTGCGTCAGACAGCCTTATCAGTGGCGCACGAGATGCGATGATGATATAAGTGTCGTTGCATTATAATATTTTTGTTAGCCTATCCAGTTGAAGCCACTAGATGTGGCGCTGCTGCGTTGTTCATTAAAAATATTGCGGAAAAAGAGAACATCAATGCGGAGAAGATGTTTTTTATGTCAAAACTGAAACCAAGCCGCTTACACAAAACACATAGCCTATTTCGCTCATTTTCTAGAGGGACATGTTGCACTCGCGTCTTGCGCAAAAGAGCCGCATGTTTAGAAAGCCATGTAAAATTAATGTTAGTTTAACTTAAAAAAATATATATACATATATCGAGACTTTATGGCTTTTTTTTTCTCCATCCCACTGCATTGTTTTTAAATGAAAAATGTACTCTGTGTGATTGACTTTCCGCCCTTTGTATTAAACTATGCATACATACATACATACATGATGCTGCTTTGTTTATAGTTATTTAAGCAACTTAATTAATTATATATGGTTTATAAACATTATTTTAAACATTATGCACTTTTTTTCACAGATAGTCATGTTATCTTACTGAATAAACTTGCATTAGTAATATTTTGCTCGATGCGTCCTCTTGTGGCCTCAGAAGAGAAGCCAAAAGCTTTTCTTCTCCCTAACTGAATTTATGCTTTTTAAATTCGAATATAATTCGAATTTTGATCATTTTTAAGTACAAAATTCGAATGTAGTTTTTCAGCCATTTTGACAGCCCTAATGCAATTAGATTGGTCCGGTTAGTCAAGTTATCCCGTCCCATAGCGCAAAGTCACATGACTTTTTTTGATGCGCATGGAGGAATTTATTTGGCAAATGCATTTCCATCTCCCGTTATTCACATTAGCTCTTTTTCGCACAAGTCAAAAACCACGTTAAGCGAGCGTGTAAACTTTTTTTGCGAATTAAGGGATATTTTTTGGGGGGGATATTTGGCGTTTTTTTTTTTTTACGATTTATTTTTGCCATTTTTGCCTTTATTATGACAGGACATATCAGAACTGACAGGAAGCGAAGTGGGAGAGAGATAGGGAGCGGGAAAGGTCCTCAAGTCAGGATTCGAACTTGACGCCAGTAGTGCAACTGTGCTGTATCTCATTGCGCTGCCCACAAGGCTATCAGTGCTGACTCCATCACTCGTTTCCTGTGATATACTTCAAAATGTGCATAAAAACAAGGTGATGGAAACATTACTGTGGCAAATCTGTCTGACCAAATCTGAGGGAATTTCCTATCATATATTCTTCAAAAGGACTGGGCATCGTCTGTGGAAATTTGCAGAACAATGAAAAATGTGTCCACACCTTAAGATATATAAATTAAGGATGGGTCAGGGTGAGTAGAGTTGAGTAGTCGTTCAGTAACCAACTAGTCAGGTTTGAACATTTGTAGTTTCGCACCTGTCTGGTAAAACTAAGTATGTTTTCATTAGAATACTGACCACCCTGTATGTTTGATTGTGGTTGACAGTGAGTACATCAGTTTTGCCTATTAAATAATCTTAAAGCATTGCCGATGATCAGTATCAAACAAAACGCTAAGTTTTTGAAGGAAAATAAAGTTGAGGGCTGTTTTAGTAAAAAAAAAAAAAGCCCAAATTCTGTACTTGCAGCCAAGTAGAGTTTTGCAAGAGTGTTTGATTTCTAGTGAACTACTAGTTGAGCAGCTTTGAATATGTAAGGTGATCTAGACTGTAGTAAGGGCAGGTCTGTGCAGCCTTGTTTCCCTAGTGCTGCAGTTCTTGAATCTAACACATGACCAGAGAGGCTATTGAGAGCGATGTTGATCACGCCAAGGTCAACGCTGAAACGGCCACTCCTTTATAACTCACAAGTCTATGTACTCAGTGACATGAATCCACGCTGTTAATTAGTAACAGAAGTGGAGGACCACTTCACTGAATTTTAATTAAGATGCAAATCACCACTTGAACTCTTGAGGTTTCTGTGAAGGGAGTCGTGTAAAATGAGTCCATTCCATTTCTTCATTATTTCTCATTTTCTTTCTTCCAAAAATTCCAAAGAAGCAGTTGTCAGTTCAATTCGGATGTTGCCTTTTTAAACGTCTTGTCATGTCTTTGCAGGTATCTTATCAGTCAAGGTGCAAACGTCGGTGTAGTAAACAGCGAGGGAGAAACGCCACTGGATATCGCAGAGGAGGAGGCCATGGAGGAGCTTCTGCAAAACGAGATCAACCGGCAAGGTACTGCTGCCTCTCCTTGACACACATTGCACAGGCACTCCAAACTTCATCTCTCATGACAATGATTTGGCAAGGGTGTACAAGGCTTAGTGTCATGTCCACGTCATGCAGTGGTTGAGATCATTGCTTTCTGACGATTTGGAGTCAGAGTTCTTCAAATTAATTGCCTTGCACGGATGGCCAAGGGTGATATGTGCTTCATGCTAAACTTTCCCAGCTGCCGTGTGCTCGTGTCAAGGCTGCAAGTCTTGGCAGGACTCCAGCGGGTGCACTGACTCAGAATTAATATTAGAGCCGAGTTCAACCAGTAGCGTAACACACAACACCCTTTCTCCTGTGTCCACTCTTAACTTACCTGTTGACCTGGCTGGGTACTTGATGTCCGAGTAGGGGTGTGTGATATGACGATTTTTGATCGTGGACGATTAAAATGTCTCCACGATCTGCTTTTGAAGAAATATCGTAGTATCGTGCTACATTGCATTCAGTTCTGCCACCTCCTCTGTCTCAATACTGTACAACGCCACATATTGGACACATATTGGACACATTGTAATGATCCCAAACTAGATGGAATGGTTTTTCTATTTTTGGCCTTTGCCATTCTTGATGATGAAACGGAGCCCAGCTGCGACTCAGAGGCCCTGTTCAGACATGCGTTAACTGCCTGATGTGGTGTGCGGCTGCTTGCTCACCAGGATGTATCAGCGGCAGATAGTACAGACTCTTCACTGGCTCAGGAGAGGAGGTGAGAATAACTGCTGATGGAGGCGTAGCTTTTCCACTCTCTTCTATAGAAATCTGTGAACAAGATCTAGCCACACAATCCAAGACAAAGATTCTTGCTGGTTGATGTGTCAGGGTGGTGCAACTGTCATGAGCATACTGAAGAAAAAGCCTCAATAAAAGGATTAAATGTACTTATTGTAGTATTTTTTTTTTAAGAATGATCTTTGGAGTTGTTGCCTTTTTTGGACAGGACAGTAAAGAGAGTTGGCAGGAAGTGAAGTAGGCGAGAGAGGAACTGGACTGGAAAGGACCATTAGCAAAGACTCAAATTTGAGCTGCCTATGAGGCTACTTGCTCAGACAAATTTTTGAATAATGAACTAAATTGGCGTGATCTTTTAATTAATGTAGAATTACTGCTCGAGGTTAGTTTATAAAGTTTGCAAAGTTTATTTTTTTTTTCTTCTTCTCACCAATAAGTCAATTTTCTTTATTCACACTCTCTGTGAAACACTGTCACCTCTTGCAGAAACTTAAGTAAATGGCCTTCTGTGATTTAATTGCACTGTATCCAAGCCTTCTTTTACAGCATGTCGTGTGTTTTGAAACTTGAGATGGCAAGCACTGTGATAGATCCACACAAATATATGTTTGAGCTCACTCAAATCAGATCCCATGGGAGAGGAAATTGAAAAAACGCAATCACTTGCAAATGGATGGGTTAAATGCAGAGCACTAATTCCAAGTATGGGTCACCATACTTGGCCACATGTCACATGTCACTTATTATATGTCATAACCAAATATATGTATGTATGTGTATATATATATATATATATATATATATATGGGATACGCTTGGTGGCTTCATGGTGTTAAACAATGGTTTGACGTTTATTACAAACACACTGCAAGATTAAAAATAAATGTACTTTTCTGTGTTGTCTCTGAGGATACAATGCTTGACACTGCTGTATCTTTCAATAAAAGATAATGTGAAAAACTGACATGTGTTTAGAATAATTGACAAAACGTTTCGTTGTGAAGTGTGACGAACAAAAGGAAACTTAATCTTTCAGTTCCTTAGGCACATCATTAAAAATAAACTTAGCCATGCAATGTTTAGGGAGGCTATGCAGAGTCTTTTGAGGTGCGGTTTCTTTACATCCACTGACAGAACAGCTTCTGAGACAGAACAAACAGTATTTTAGGGTCTTACTTGACATATTTATCCAACTGCAGTATCGCTCTTGTGATTGATGGACAGATATGAATTGTTTAGGACACGCCTCCTTGATTACATACAACAAGGAAGCATGTTAAGGAGTAGGGCTGCACGATATATTGAAATTATCGAAATATCGCAAATGTAAATATCACAATATGCATATCGCAAGGGTGTGCGATATCTGAATCATTTTAATAATAGGCTACTTAAATCAAAACGTTGCAAAAGGTCAAAGTTTTAGTTCGACGCATATAGCAGAGAATTGCTTGACGTTAAAAAGAGTTAAGTGCAATAAGTTGCAGAAAACAACTCTTTGCCGTCTCGTCTTGCTGTCTGACTCACACCTGAAGCGCGCGCACAAGCATCTTCCGTTCTGGCGTCTCTTCAGTTCTGCCGCACACACACAGAGAGAGACGCGTTTCAGACGGCACGCGAACACCGAATTGATTCGTCTTTCGCATCTCCTCCTCATGTTTGAACGGACACATACACTCAGAATTATGTCAACAGTACCCGTCTCGGCGATCATTCTCGTAATCGCAGTCAGTTATGTTTTAAATGAATGTAAACAGCTGAGAAAGAAATCGAATGTGTATCATTATACTGGATCCGTGCAGTCGGTTTTAAAGGGACAGCAGCCTATAAATACATGCTGCTGAATATGTCACTAATGTTAATCAAACAACAAAACGGCTATAACAAAGATTAATCTAAATTTAATTCATACAGTGAACACTATGCAGTGTTATTTTACACTTAATTATTAAATTTCTGTATCTGAATACTACTGTTTATTTTATCTGTGCTTGTAAATTGTGTATTTGTTCTTTTTTTTTTTCTTTTTCTTTCTTTTTTTTTTGCTGAATGTTCACTTGCCTTTAATCATGTTTGAACTTTCTCAGACTATAGTTTTTGCTGTGGTATATGAAGAAGTACTTAGTGTATGGAAAGCAAAGGTACAATGATATAAAATTAGTGTCATTAATTGTTTTTGTTTGTATGTTCACACTGATGTTAAAATTACATTCTCTGATTTGTGACATTACTTTTTATGTACTGCTAAAACACTGCTGGTCACTTTCAGAAGTTGTAGTGATTCTTTCTTTTCCAAGAAAGAATGTGAAACAAATTGGTTATATAATTTTTATTTTAAAAATATTTTAAAATATAATTGAAACTGATTTTACACACTTTAAGCAATATTGTATCGCATATCGAATATCGCATTTTTTAACAAGGTATCGCATATCGCATTTTTCTTCAATATCGGACAGCCCTATTAAGGAGTGTGTCGAGAAGAATTGTGAAGTCACTATTGTCCAGATTTCAAATCCAGGCATTTCATAAGGGTAGAATGGAATAATTCATACTTTAAACTGGGGAGTTAGTTTTGAGTTGCAGCATGTTTTTGTTGTTGAGTAACCTCTCATATGTGTAAATATCAGGAAAATTTTGATGTTGGGACTGTCATATCAGCCAATAAATGAGCAGTTTGACCAGTGAATACAACTGGCTTTTCTTACTTTCATCGGTTCCAGAATCTACAAATAGCCCTGAGTCAGTTTTGACTGATATTGGTATTGGCCATTGAAAAATTCATTTGGGCTGACCAAGGCATACAGATATTTTGTTTTCTCTCTTTATTTTGTCAAGAATCAATTAGTATGCCTTCTTCAGCTTTTGTGGCTTTGGCCAGCAGCAAGTCCACAGTAGCTCCTGAAACATGAGCCTCAAATCGGTTATGCGGCAAGACAATTTTCAGAGAGCAAAAACCGAGCTTGTGCTTGTCCTTTATCGCTCCTAACAGCTCTACATGCGGCATGAATTTGTTGATAATTGCTCTGCCCTGCTGTTAGCATGTCGCGCTCTTTAAGAGCATGTTATATAACATTCGCAATTCAGCCCACGCTCATGGCCATCCAGTGTGGCTTAGCCAATGGCAGCTGTCAGCTTTAATTTGAGGACTGAAGGACACTCTTCAGCTTTGAAGAAGCGTGATAGACCCCTGCAGACATCAGAAATCACGTTGCTTGTGAGCCCTAATGTTTGAATGGCTCAAATGGGAACGTCCTTTTCTATCTCGATGCTCGTCGTTCGGTGGTCAGGCTAGAACAGGAGCCCACGCTTTATTCCATGTATTGTATTATAAGACACCGCACTATTGTTTGCTTTGGCTACTGGTTTCAAACTCCCGAAGCAAATGGCAATCAAATTTTGTTTTGGTCTTATTTTGTTTGAAATGACGTCACACTATGGGATATGATATTAGACTCTAAATGATTAATAGATGCACGCACAATTATCCATGCACTGCATAAATTTTATACACGTATCTTACTAACCACAAACAAATGCCTTTCAATTTGAGTCTGTGGAATTCGGGATTAAATGATTGTGAAGCGATTTGTACAAATACAGACATGTTTGCGAATAAAAATGTTCTGTTCTGCATTAATATATCATAAATTGCTCATGCAAAAAGGAATCTGTGCATATGTGGATCAGGTGACACGCGTGCATTAATTGACGTCTAGTTCGAGTCGATCTTGTTCAGTTCATTTGGATTTTGAGACTTCATTTTCGCATGTTTACAGCATTTCACGTCCTCCACACAAACACAACTACCAACGAACAAGGACCAGTGCAATTCATTAACTTGTACACGATTTGAAAAAATCGCAAATGTGCTCACTACACTGAAACAAATGCTTTTCAACCGGTGTCTGCAGAGTTAAGAATTACATTAATGTGCAGCATTTTGTTCAAATAGAGACATATTTGTGAATACAAATGTTATAGTTTGTATTAAAGTATCATGATTTGTGCATGTAGCGATTAAAATGTGCATCTGTGGATCAGGTGACACGCGTGCATTCATTCACGTCTCTTCTGAGTCGATTCTATTTGATTCATTTGAATTTTGAGACTTTCGTTCCGCCCTTTTAGCCTTACCCAATCCACACACACACAGCTCGCGATCCACGCGCAGCTGAGACACAGAAAATCAGCGACCACTAGATGGCACTAGCCCCAGTCACATGTGCGCATTCAATTGAGTACAGTTTTATGAATGTTACATTGTGTTTTCTTTGTTTCTTTTTGGTTTGGCTATTCTCCTCTGCCCGTAGAAATATAATAAAGATGTTAATTTGAACTTGTTCTAACTTAACTTGTCTTAAGACACAGAATAGCTTATATTAATTTTGCCAAACAAGAACTTCGTGATGG